TAATCTAACTTTAAGATTTTATATAATAAATAATAGATTAGATCTTTCTAAATTAAAAGAATATTTAGAATATACAAAAAATGATTAAAATTTACAGAATAAAAATAAGAAATTGAAGAATATACTAATTTATTGGAGCAAAGAATGAATTTGTTTAAAACTATACATAAGAGAAGAATATGTTTTGCAATAAATGAAAATTTATAGACATTTTAACCTATTTTATATAAAAAGCCCAGGCCCCCAACGATCTTCAGACCTCCAATTTCTCTTTACATTTTTTATTAATCAATCAATCGGAAAATCCGTAATGGCGACTCGTTACTGGGCAGTGTCACTCCCAGTCGACCAAACCTTCTCCCTCTGGAACCGCCTCCAATAATCCATTTTCAAATCCGCCTTCGATATCGATGCCGCTCTCTACAGAGTAATTTTTACGTTTATGTGTTAATTATGCATTTAGTAGATCTAAATTCTCGAATTCCATCTTAAAAGCTCTGTCTTGTGGACAAAAGTAGCTTGATTAAGGTTTTCGAATTAAATTTTTTGACTACTTTGATTTGGTATTGGAACTTGTAGAGAAGAGTAGTTCAAGCTATTAATAATTCATGTTATATTTTGGGGCAAAATTTGTTTCTTTTCAGATCACGAATAGTAGTTTTGTTGAATTTTGCAGTTTAACATTCCAAATCTACGTGTAGGTACGCTAGATTCTTTGTTGGCATTGAGTGATGATTTATTGAAGGTTGGTTATTTCTATTTTCTTGTTATAGTTCTTCAAGTTTCAGCTGATTTTGCGGCATTGTGTAGTAGTTTGGGGAAAAAAAGGTTTTTAGAATTATAATTTGATTTTCTTTTGGCAGTCGAACAACTTTATTGAAGGAGTGTCACACAAAATTCGGAGACAGATTGAGGATTTGGAGAGGGTCTCAGGAGTGGTCAGTAGCTCACTTACGGTAGATGGGGTTCCTGTTGACTCTTATCTTACTAGGTAATTGCCTTTTACTTTATTTTGCTTTGGACTAAATTTGATAGATTTGTTAAATTGTTCAATAAATCGACTATTTGAATTTGGCAAAATTTTATGATATGTGTAGATTTGTGTGGGACGAGGCAAAATATCCGACAATGTCACCACTAAGGGAGATCGTGGATGGGATTCATGTACAAGTTGCCAAAATCGAGGATGATCTTAAGGCATGTTCATTTGTTTTCAGTTGATTCACAGACAGTGGTTTTGTTAATATGAGTGAATTTTATGAACTTCAGCTAAAAATCCTTCCTTTCCATATTAAAGTTGCCAAAATGCTAGACAGTGTGCGATGATGTACTTGGGTTATCTTATATATAGAAGATAATTTCCATTTTATCCGCTAAACGTGAATAGGAGAAAGGGTGCAAACCTTAAAGTTGCCCAGTCCCCTTCACTGTCAGTCTACATTTTTCACAGTGGCCAAGAATTAAAATAGTAGTTAATTCTCTCATTGGAACTTGAATGTGCACATATAACAGTTTGCCTCCTTATCTTTCTCTATTTATGTATATGAAACCAACTATCCTCCATATCTTTCTCTATTTATGTATATGAAACCAACTATCTATTGTCTCATCATTATATCTTTGTGCGAGTCAATATAATAGGATCATTGTCATTGTTCAGGGCCTTCAGGCAATATTCCTCAGTGCAAGATATACCGTTCTCTTTCTCTAATTAGCCATTATCAATTCTCATTCCATGCAGCTTCTCAACCAATTATGATTACCCTTTGAGGTGGCTTCATTGCTATGTAGCCATAAAACTTATCTAGCCTTTTGTTTTCCTGGTAGACATCAGTATTTGCTGCCTCGCATCTTAATTTTGATTTCAGTTGATGGCGTCTTTCATAAGATTGAAATTTAAATGAGGTTACTATAAGCTGCTTTACTATACTTCTTAAGAGCCTTTGACTCAAGATGATTTAAATTTCTCCATGCAGTTATCTTATAGAATGATCCATATTCCATGGAGGCCTAATATGGTTTTTGAATATATTGTTCAGTTTTTACTTTTTCCAAGAATATTTTCCATGTGATTTTAAGGTTTTTCCATTCAGATTTCTGCTCAATTATTGCAACATGCATTTTATTTTTTCTTTGTTTTATAATGCTCATAACTCCGTTCAGTCTGATTGAGGTCATGTTCGGAGAACTGTGGGATGGTTTTATAGGAAAACTGTGTATATGTTGGATTAATGTTTCCTTGAATACGAACTCTCTTCTAGTAAGTAGTTTGCCTGTTAGCTCTTCTTTACTAGTAACAAGTCCCTTAAAAAATTCATATGGTGATTTTACTTTCCCGAGTTTAATCTGTCTGGCCTTTCTGTTTTATCCTGACTTCTTACTCAGAAAATGATCCTAAGCAGTTCGAAACCCTCCTTTGTCTAAGTCGCAGCACTTATTTCATGACTTAAAGTTTCCAGAAGTGTTCTTTAACACTTTTCTCAATTTAGGCGTGCTTGGGTAGAGTGGTCTTGTTAAGACAACCATGGTTAATGGTTATGTACTTTGGATAAAGATCAATAATTGACTAATAACTATTAAAATCAAAATAATACATGACATAGTTTTAGAAGCTCTGAATTGTGTTTAAAAAGGCTTAATTCAGTGAGGTGTTTAATCTCTGTAAGGCAATGCGTAATCTTCCGGATAGAACAATAAAAGAATTTAAAAGAACATTAAAATCAAAATTTGCTCATAATCCTACAATATATAAAAGTGAGAAGTTACTTGCACTGTTGTTAAGCCATTTGGCCATTTTGGCCGAGCCGTTTTTGAGCCAGTCGGTTA